AACTTAAAGGTTTGAATAATCTCTAATAACGAGATCCAATGCAAGACTGTCAATATTGACAAACAGAAAACATTCTTAAGACAACAACATTCAGTTTATTCAAAAGCTCAACAAACCTGTCAACATAAAACACATCAATAAAACATGTCATGGCAAGACAAAACAAAATATTTTGAGTTCTTATCCATTGCACTTCATTAAAATATTATTTTTAAATCTTGAAATAATCCGACTTTCTCCAGGCAATAATACGGTTATTATTTATGAATTTCAAGCACCTTGCTTGTTTCAATGCTTAATTTTTTCTTCAAGATTTTTCTTCTCTTTTTAGGGTTCTTTTTAATAGTAATTCAGGTATCAAAGACAAAAAACATTGCTGACAAACCAGTTTGGGCTCAAATGTTGTAAGCAATTACCGTACACGTTTAAAAAGCAACGTCTGATATGTTAATTTCATAACAGCTTGTTTAAGCCATTCCCTAACTACATCCTTTTTACCATGTTAATCAATGAAGGCATTTAAATTTCAAATTGGAGTCTGTCTGAAGCTTTACTTATTGATAAGGCCTGAGTGCATCCAACCTGGAAAACCCTATGAAATATTGACATAATTTTTTGAGAGAATTTTTTACAAGAAACTGCCATTTCTGGGGATGTCACATTAATAGATGGATTGTTTTCCTGTAACACAAGCTTTAGCATTAGATGTTTTGACTTCTCTATGTTTTCAACAGTTCTAACTTGTCGTACATATTTATAAAACCATTGCTTTCAGAAAAGTACAAATGAAAGTAAAGCATCTGTACAGCATGCATGATGATAAACTGACAGTTTAACTGAGGAAATCACGTTATCTGCAATAATGTTAACTGTTCTTGTAATTATGTTTTTTGACAGTGAGTACAAGAGCAATATTATGGGTTGGCTAATATCGCACAATGCACATGGACATACTAATTAGATTGTGCGTGTACCAACAAACAACACACTTGCACACACAGTCACGTTTTTCTTTTAACACAAACACAAAAACCAAAGATGCATATGAAAATATCTTCTCTGTCTCCTCTCCCTCCCTCCCAGCTCTCTCTCTCTCTCTCTCTCTCTCTCTCTCTCTCTCACACACAAACACACACACACACACACACACACACACAAACAAACACCAAATGAACAAATTACATCCTATCTGAATCTCTCTCTCTCTCTCTGTGCGCTTGGGAGGGGGTGGCACACACACACACACACACACACACACACACACATCCCATCTGAATCCCTGACTGACCACCACCCCTACAAAAGCTGACCAGCCAGCTCAAGCTGATTGACCATATTGATGACATTCGTCCAATCAATAATTAATGCGCAAATCTGAGCTTCTGCATTGACTGGCAGCTAATACTGTGAGCAAGCCTGCCACACTGGATCAGTACATTATAAAACACTGCGAGACAGCTTAACTTTGCTCATTGTCAAACACACTGAACACTGCAGGAACTCTGACGCCTCTGAGCAGCTCTGAGAATCTGCGTTAAAGTACACCGCGTCAGGCAAAAAGTGTGCCATGTAGAAAATAATCATGTATGTACCAGAAAACCTGGGCACATGGGAAAATACAAAGTGCTCTCTGGTTATGTTATAAGACATCTGTATATTTTGTAACTTTGGTGTGGAAATGCACTGAACTCTATAGAAATACTGAGATCTTTTCCCTGGCTTGCTACAGTATTTGGTTTGCCCAGGATTTTACAATTTGGGGGGGGGGGGGGCACGAGGATAATTATTACCCTTTTTGACTCAATGAACATGAAGGCATTTGTAAAGACATCAGCATGAGTGAAAATTGTAAAAACTAAAAATCCTGAAAACGTAACTTGCAATTTCTCATTGCATTTAGACCATATGAAAAAAACAATCTAAACATATACCCTGAAAAACTTTCACCCTTGCATCACCAACACCGCTTCAAGTACACGAACACATTTTCAACTAAAAAATCTCAAAATCTCTTATTTCCACAATGCTTATATAAATACCAACTTTTCTATATTCTAATCAATGCCAGGAGGAGGCGAGTTAGACTGTTAATCTGATTGCATTAAGCAAGAGTCTCCATGGAGTCAGTATGCAATAGCTAGGTTGACAGAATTCATTGGGAATGGTCCCTAAGACATGACAAAGTTGCCGGATACACAAGGACGAGTTCCAAATCATGACCTTAGTAACAAGTGACCTTCACCATTACCATGGCAACACGAAGAAGACTTGTAGCTAACACAAGGAAATGCTCTAACTCATGACCTTAGTAACATGTGACCTTCACCATTACCATGGCAACATGACAAAGACTTACAGGGTGCACCAGGAAGTGTTCTGACTCATGACCTCAGCATCAAGTGATCTTTACCAATACCATGACAAGTTGACAAAATTAACTAAGACTTGCAGGGTGCAAAAAGCAAGAATTCCAACTGGTGACCTCAACATCATGTGACCTTCACCATTACCATGACGACCTACCTCAGGTCAAAAGTGAGGTAAAACAAACCAGACGCCCATGACAAGCAGAGAGAAAGGTCAACAGGGGGGGCAGGCATGGGCTGAACCATTACACTGACCTTGTATTATGGCAAATTTAGACAACATCTGGAGAGTATCAACCTTAAAAACTTGTCTACCAGCCATAGAAGATATACTTTCTATTCGATTTCTCTCTCTCTCTTTCTCTCTCTCTCTTCTTTCCTTCTCTGTCTCTCCCACTTCTCCTTTTCCATTATTTCCATTTGATTTAGTTTCTATTCAGATTCTCTCTCTCTCTCTCTCTCTCTCTCTCTCTCTCTCTCTCTCTCTGGAAGACCAGGAAGCATAGATATGTCAACTGTCACAACAAGAAATACAGCCAATAAATCTTTAGACCACAGATGCTTTTGACTATTTAAATATACATCAAGAAATATTGGTAGTTTATATTTAGGAATACATGTGCAGTAGAATGGAGAGCCTGTGAATGAAAGTGGAAAATATACCTCAAGATCAGTGAACGTACAGACCTTTTGCTTAACAACCTCCTCCTTTGACTGAGGTCAAATTTATATAAGACTTATAAGTTAGTCTCTTCTGACTTTATTTTTGTTATAATTTTATGTACTTATAAAACAATGTAGGATAAATTCGAAAAAAAAATTATAAATTGTGGTTAAAAGGTAGTTGTTCTGCTGAAGAGACTAGATATATTCTTTTTTCCATCTACCAGGAATGAAGGTCAACCGTGCATCAATTACTGATCACATAACTGACTCATCAATTGAGATAAAAAAAAATATCATTACACAAAAAACAATGAAAACCCTATTTCCCCACAGTTAATAAACCATAATTTAAGTGAGCCTTTCAGGGTTCAAATTGGGTTGCAAGTTGAGGTATTGTTCACAAGGAGTATATTTCTCCCTCAACTCTTTTAAAGTACATATATATNTCTCTCCCAATGGAAGACCAGGAAGCATAGATATGTCATCTGTCACAACAAGAAATACAGCCAATAAATCTTTAGACCACAGATGCTTTTGACTATTTAAATATACATCAAGAAATATTGGTAGTTTATATTTAGGAATACATGTGCAGTAGAATGGAGAGCCTGTGAATGAAAGTGGAAAATATACCTCAAGATCAGTGAACGTACAGACCTTTTGCTTAACAACCTCCTCCTTTGACTGAGGTCAAATTTATATAAGACTTATAAGTTAGTCTCTTCTGACTTTATTTTTGTTATAATTTTATGTACTTATAAAACAATGTAGGATAAATTCGAAAAAAAAATTATAAATTGTGGTTAAAAGGTAGTTGTTCTGCTGAAGAGACTAGATATATTCTTTTTTCCATCTACCAGGAATGAAGGTCAACCGTGCATCAATTACTGATCACATAACTGACTCATCAATTGAGATAAAAAAAAATATCATTACACAATAAACAATGAAAAACCTATTTCCCCACAGTTAATAAACCATAATTTAAGTGAGCCTTTCAGGGTTCAAATTGGGTTGCAAGTTGAGGTATTGTTCACAAGGAGTAAATTTCTCCCTCAACTCTTTTAAAGTACATATATATAAATATGTACTTTAATACCACTCACCAGAAATCAGCAAATATTAAAAAAATTTACAAATTGCCCTTTTTTATTGAAGAAAATCCAAGTCAAAATGATCAAGCCTTCCCTTCCTATTCTTATAAATATTTTCAAGCCAAACTCATCTCTTATTTTTATTTTGTTGTTGTTGTTGTTTTGTTTTTCTGTCTAAGAGTTGTTTACACCATAGATTATCTCTACTTAAATGAGAGCATACGTCCTGCCATATGTCATTCCCAGAAAACATTGGTTAATGTATGAAAAGAAGAGGCTATTCCAGAACAATCATCTTGGTCTCTGAGAGCAAAGCTATTTCCTGGAAAACTCCCTGAAAGCGGTTGTTGAACTGTGCACTCTCTCTCTCTCTCTCTCTCTCTCAAACACACACACACACACACACATACACACACGCACACACACACACATATATTCCACCACCACCACCATAAATGGCATAAAACTACAATTACATGTTGATGTCAATTTAATTTTATGAAAATCTACAGTCTAAGCATGTCCCCAGGGTATTCTAAGACCACGCCCTACAATCCTCATACCATTGTCCACTATGGACCATCAACATTTTTGGGGCCCTTCAGCAGAAGGAAGGGAAGGGGGGTCCACTTTGTATCTGTGGACCCCTCCCCCCCCCCTTCAAGTAATCCTGAATCCATCCCTGCCCACACACAAACACACACATCAACACATGCACACTCATACGTACCTGAAATCAAAACGAGAATATCATCACCATAGGCAAGAAAAACATAAAATCTATTTAACTGAAATAAAGACACAAATATGTTATATATATATATTATAAATAATATATAAATATATATAAAATTTAAGACGTAATACACCTTACCTTGCAATGATCACAGTTCCAATTAACAGAGTACGTGTGGTTTTTATCCCCTTGGTGATGCCGTTTCCCCTCGCAATCAAACTTCGACATCACGTCCAACTCGAAGCGTTCGTACACAGTTTGCACGGTTCTGTCTAAATCCTCTATGCTGCGTATACACTCTTTGCAGACCGNTCCTGAAAAACTTTCACCCTTGCATCACCAACACCGCTTCAAGTACACGAACACATTTTCAACTAAAAAATCTCAAAATCTTTTATTTCCACCATGCTTATATAAATACCAACTTTTCTATATTCTAATCAATGCCAGGAGGAGGCGAGTTAGACTGTTAATCTGATTGCATTAAGCAAGAGTCTCCATGGAGTCAGTATGCAATAGCTAGGTAGACAGAATTCATTGGGAATGGTCCCTAAGACATGACAAAGTTGCCGGATACACAAGGACGATTTCCAAATCATGATCTATTTATCATGTGACCTTCACCATTACCATGACAAAGACTTACAGGGTGCACCAGGAAGTGTTCTGACTCATGACCTCAGCATCAAGTGATCTTCACAAATACCATGACTTGTTGACAAAATTAACTAAGACTTGCAGGGTGCAAAAAAGCAAGAATTCTAACTGGTGACCTCAACATCATGTGACCTTCACCATTACCATGACGACCTACCTCAGGTCAAAAGTGAGGTAAAACAAACCAGACGCCCATGACAAGCAGAGAGAAAGGTCAACAGGGAGGGCAGGCATGGGCTGAACCATTACACTGACCTTGTATTATGGCAAATTTAGACAACATCTGGAGAGTATCAACCTTAAAAACTTGTCTACCAGCCACAGAAGATATACTTTCTATTTGATTTCTCTCTCTCTCTCTCTCTCTCTCTCTCTCTCTCTCTCTTCTTTCCTTCTCTGTCTCTCCCACTTCTCCTTTTCCATTATTTCCATTTGATTTAGTTTCTATTCAGATTCTCTCTCTCTCTCTCTCTCTCTCTCTCTCTCTCTCTCTCTCAATGGAAGACCAGGAAGCATAGATATGTCAACTGTCACAACAAGAAATACAGCCAATAAATCTTTAGACCACAGATGCTTTTGACTATTTAAATATACATCAAGAAATATTGGTAGTTTATATTTAGGAATACATGTGCAGTAGAATGGAGAGCCTGTGAATGAAAGTGGAAAATATACCTCAAGATCAGTGAACGTACAGACCTTTTGCTTAACAACCTCCTCCTTTGACTGAGGTCAAATTTATATAAGACTTATAAGTTAGTCTCTTCTGACTTTATTTTCGTTATAATTTTATGTACTTATAAAACAATGTAGGATAAATTCGAAAAAAAAATTATAAATTGTGGTTAAAAGGTAGTTGTTCTGCTGAAGAGACTAGATATATTCTTTTTTCCATCTACCAGGAATGAAGGTCAACCGTGCATCAATTACTGATCACATAACTGACTCATCAATTGAGATAAAAAAAAATATCATTACACAAAAAACAATGAAAACCCTATTTCCCCACAGTTAATAAACCATAATTTAAGTGAGCCTTTCAGGGTTCAAATTGGGTTGCAAGTTGAGGTATTGTTCACAAGGAGTATATTTCTCCCTCAACTCTTTTAAAGTACATATATATAAATATGTACTTTAATACCACTNTCCTTTCCTTCTCTGTCTCTCCCACTTCTCCTTTTCCATTATTTCCATTTGATTTAGTTCCTATTCAGATTCTCTCTCTCTCTCTCTCTCTCTCTCTCTCTCTCTCTCTCTCAATGGAAGACCAGGAAGCATAGATATGTCAACTGTCACAACAAGAAATACAGCCAATAAATCTTTAGACCACAGATGCTTTTGACTATTTAAATATACATCAAGAAATATTGGTAGTTTATATTTAGGAATACATGTGCAGTAAAATGGAGAGCCTGTGAATGAAAGTGGAAAATATACCTCAAGATCAGTGAACGTACAGATCTTTTGCTTAACAACCTCCTCCTTTGACTGAGGTCAAATTTATATAAGACTTATAAGTTAGTCTCTTCTGACTTTATTTTCGTTATAATTTTATGTACTTATAAAACAATGTAGGATAAATTCGAAAAAAAAATTATAAATTGTGGTTAAAAGGTAGTTGTTCTGCTGAAGAGACTAGATATATTCTTTTTTCCATCTACCAGGAATGAAGGTCAACCGTGCATCAATTACTGATCACATAACTGACTCATCAATTGAGATAAAAAAAAATATCATTACACAAAAAACAATGAAAACCCTATTTCCCCACAGTTAATAAACCATAATTTAAGTGAGCCTTTCAGGGTTCAAATTGGGTTGCAAGTTGAGGTATTGTTCACAAGGAGTATATTTCTCCCTCAACTCTTTTAAAGTACATATATATAAATATGTACTTTAATACCACTCACCAGAAATCAGCAAATATTTAAAGAAATTTACAAATTGCCCTTTTTTATTGAAGAAAATCCAAGTCAAAATGATCAAGCCTTCCCTTCCTATTCTTATAAATATTTTCAAGCCAAACTCATCTCTTATTTTTATTTTGTTGTTGTTGTTGTTTTGTTTTTCTGTCTAAGAGTTGTTTACACCATAGATTATCTCTACTTAAATGAGAGCATGCGTCCTGCCATATGTCATTCCCAGAAAACATTGGTTAATGTATGAAAAGAAGAGGCTATTCCAGAACAATCATCTTGGTCTCTGAGAGCAAAGCTATTTCCTGGAAAACTCCCTGAAAGCGGTTGTTGAACTGTGCACTCTCTCTCTCTCTCAAACACACACACACACACATACACACACACACACACACACACACACACACATATATACCACCACCACCACCATAAATGGCATAAAACTACAATTACATGTTGATGTCAATTTAATTTTATGAAAATCTAGTCTAAACATGTCCCCAGGGTATTCTAAGACCACGCCCTACAATCCTCATACCATTGTCCACTACGGACCATTAACATTTTTTGGGGCCCTTCAGCAGGCCCGAACCCCACGCAAAGGGAGGGGGGGTCCACTTTGTATCTGTGGACCCCTCCCCCCTTCAAGTAATCCTGAATCCACCCCTGCCCACACACAAAACACACACATAAACACATGCACACTCATACGTACCTGAAATCAAAACAAGAATATCATCACCATAGGCAAGAAATACATAAAATCTATTTTAACTGAAATAAAGACACAAATATGTTATATATATATATATATTATAAATAATATATAAATATATATAAAATTTAATACGTAATACACCTTACCTTGCAATGATCACAGTTCCAATTAACAGAGTACGTGTGGTTTTTATCCCCTTGGTGATGCCGTTTCCCCTCGCAATCAAACTTCGACATCACGTCCAACTCGAAGCGTTCGTACACAGTTTGCACGGTTCTGTCTAAATCCTCTATGCTGCGTATACACTCTTTGCAGACTGTCGTCGCATTTTTAAAATTATTATTATTATACTCATCATCATTATCATCATTATTATTATTATTACTTAAACCGTCAGCATTTGGTGATGTTTTCTTGTCCTCAGAACAATTGTCAGTATAGGAACAATTGTGCTTTAGGATAGGGTAGACTGGATATGCATTACAAAATTTGAGGTACATCTTGATGAGCTTCTTCCTGCGCTGGGGGCAAGTGGGGGAATCACAATAGAGTTCTTGAGCGCTCTGAGAAGCAAGGCACTGTCGCTCCTGGTACTCGTACTGAGTCAAGTTCACAAGGAATACATCTCGTAGAATCCAGGGGGTCGCCAAGCGGAGTTCCCCCGCCGGGCACGACGCTGGAGAGTCACGCGAGGAGGGAGGAAGAGAAGGATCCGAGGATTCTGATTCTATAAATATCTCACCGTCGTCGTCGCCGTCAGTGGACGCCGGCTGCCCCGATATCCCCAGGCAGGTCGTCATCAGCAGGAAGATGTAGAGAAGAGGAAGGGGGAGAGGGGTCGTCGAACTGAGACCGAGCGGTCGCCGCCGTCGTCGCCATCGCTGCTGAAGAAGCCCAAGGTTATTATGATAATCCCTGACCGGAAAAAAGTGCCGCTGCAATGACATAAGTGGCCGGCCATACCCGCACAGTAATATCATAGTGTCATTTTCACGATACCTTGCGGCCGGCAGCAAGACAGGCGGGCTGCGCACACTGGCATCAGCAAACTTGTGGACTTCACTCACTCCGCGGCCTCATAGCTCGACCGCTGTGGCGTACTCTCCCCAACAACATCTTGATCATCCAAAACAGGGATTTCTACTGAAAATATCAGGTGCTCTATACTACTCACTCACTGCTCTGCCTTGGCATAGCACTTTCTTTATACTCTGTATTATACTCCGTGTGTATTAAACAGTGCAGCGAAAACCCACTGCTGAAATGAACGAGCGACCGGCTAATGCTACTTCATTCCGCCGGGGTCCGGCTCCTTCATTGCGAATAATGATTACTTTCCCAATTTTCGGTAGGCCTGTGTTATTGTGGTGTCTTCGCTTCAATTTCCCGTGATCTGAGCTCGTTTTATGATATAATTTCGAAAGCGTATTCCATGTTCTTCGCCGCTGCCAGCTGCTGCTTATTCCGCCATGTTTGAAAATCTCGGGGAAAAAAGAGAGTGCGCATGCCCAGTTTAATTATTTTATTGTTCGTTAATTAAAGGGCAGGTTAACAAAATAGGTGTTTTCACGCCTCGTTACCGATCTCTTAATCAAACTTTTAAAGAGAAATGATTGATAGGTTTTCTGGCGTTAGGATCCTGCGTCTTTGCGGCCGTCTTCATATTAATCAATATTAAAAACGCACTGGTGAGCTTGAGTCGAAGAGGAAATATAGCGCTCGCGACAACAGCGCGGCTCAGATAGAGAGAGAAGATTCGAGGAGATAGAAGTCGGCGGATATGAATAATCCAGGATTTGAATTACAGTTGGGCTGTGGATTCGAGCGGGGATCGATGGGTTTTCGTTGCAAACCAGAAAATATTCTGTTTCTTATTTGTTTATTAGTGTTACACATTTTTTTTTCTTTTTCTTCGATGCATCGTACAATGCAAAAGCTGCACTTGCGATGCGTTTCGATCACTGGGAATTTCTCGGAAAATGACTGGTAGCCCATGCGAGTTGCAGTATTCTATAATCCCGTTAAGTATAAGGTCAACTGGAAATAGTCGGTGATTTATGGGGGGATTT